CCCCCCCTGTTAAAACATAAATTAACTGTGGTTTATCACATCTTTGGAAAGCTGAGTTCAATTTCTCTAGCCACACCCAGGCCTGATTACTGCCACACCTGTTCTCAATCAAGAAATCACTTAAATAGGACCTGCCTGACAAAGTGAGGTAGACCAAAAGATCCTCAAAAGCTAGACATCATGCTGCGATCCAAAGAAATTCAGGAACAAATGAGAAACAAAGTAATTGAGATCTATCAGTCTGAAAAAGGTTTCAAAGCCATTTCTAAAGCTTTGGGACTCCAGCAAACCACAGTGAGAGCCATTATCCACAAATGGCGAAAACATGGAACAGTGGTGAACCTTCCCAGGAGTGGCCGGCCGACCAAAATTACCCCAAGAGCGCAGCGACGACTCATCCAAGAGGTCACAAAACACCCCAGAACAACATCCAAAGAACTGCAGGCCTCACTTGCCTCAATTAAGGTCAGTGTTCATGACTCCACCATAAGAAAGAGACTGGGCAAAAATGGCCTGCATGGCAGAGTTCCAAGACGAAAACCACTGCTGAGCAAAAAGTACATAAAGGCTCGTCTCAGTTTTGCCAGAAAACATCTTGATGATCCCCAAGACTTTTGGGAAAATACTCTGTGGACTGACGAGACAAAAGTTGAACTTTTTGGAAGGTGTATGTCCCATTACCTCTGGCGTGAAAGTAACACGGCATTTCAGAAAAGGAACACCATACCAACAGTAAAATATGGTGGTGGTAGTGTGATGGTCTGGGGCTGTTTTGCTGCTTCAGGACCTGGAAGACTTGCTGTGGTAAATGGAACCATGAATTCTGCTGTCTACCAACAAATCCTGAAGGAGAATGTCCGGCCATCTGTTCGTGACCTCAAGCTGAAGCGCACTTGGGTTCTGCAGCAGGACAATGATCCAAAACACACCAGCAAGTCCACCTCTGAATGGCTTAAGAAAAACAAAATGAAGACTTTGGAGTGGCCTAGTCAAAGTCCCGACCTGAATCCGATTGAGATGCTGTGGCATGACCTTAAAAAGGTGGTTCATGCTCAAAAACCCTCCAATGTGGCTGAATTACAACAATTCTGCAAAGATGAGTGGGCCAAAATTCCTCTACAGCGCTCTAAAAGACTCATTGCCAGTTATCGCAAATGCTTGATTGCAGTTGTTGCTGCTAAGGGTGGCCCAACCAGTTATTAGGTTTAGGGGGCAATCACTTTTTCACACAACTGTATATGTATACATATATACACACATGTATATATAAATGTATATATTGAGGGCTGAAAATGTCCGCTTGATAGAGGCAGTCGATTTTGGGATTGTCCCCGCCCAACATGTCACGCTAGCCCACTGACCAAGCAAGCCGCACGTTAATGCAGACGTACTCGGCTAGGCCAGTTAGAAGGCTCTGACATGTCAAAGAATACGCCCAACATGTCAAACTAAAGATCTGATTGGTTGAAGACTATGACAATCAACAATATCATCCCCATTTACTTAAAATGCAAAGAGATTCACGTGTAATCTTGAAGGCCTCCGGGCAGATATTTTTTTTACCTGGAGACATAGAGGTGAAATCTGATTGGATAAAAGCTCTACTTAAAACAAGCAGCACTGGAAGCAGAGCAACTGAGGAAGACAGTAGCTGTGCAATGAGATAATGAACTAATGGGAAAAATATTTTGAATACATGTAGTGTATTTATGAAAAAGAATTAAATGATAATATAGCTATAACTTTGTGATTCTGTCTAGGCCAGCAGAGAAGGCTTTGCTGGCGCTGACGGCCCACCACTGACATATCTAATATAAATGCGTAATTTAAATTACTACTCAGTCTATCTAATTTATAAATGCAATGCTCTCAGTTTTTATACTGTACTCGAATTTGGTCTTAATCTATAATAATACATTCTCATTTATTTGTTTATTTATTTGTTGAACTTGCAAAGTAAATAAAATGATCAAATACATGTAGGGCAGTTAAGAAATATACAATATTTCCCTCTGAGATGTAGAGTATAAGTATAAAGGGAAATGGAAATACTCAAGTAAAGTAGGCTATCAAGATTGTACTTGTAGTTCAGTACTTGAGTAAATGTACTTTGTTACTTCCCATTAGTGTTGTTCAAACTACTCATTTTAACCTGAACTTAATTCTGACCTTCACCTTTAGTCTGAACCCTCATTTAGTCCTTTGAAGAGGGAAGTTTCTGTGTCACTGAAATGTCATTTAACAAGGAAGCTGCAATATTAATGATTAGTACTTTATAATAGATGACAAAAGAGTCAGAAATAGAATTTTTAGCTGGGAAGGAGCTGATTGGCTCGTCTGAAATCCATGTTATCATGATGCCAACGGGCAGCAGACGCAGGTAGTAAACATCTCTAATTTATTGAAATAAAACAATTTGAAGAGTG